GGTGTTCAAATTAGGAGATTTTCACATTTTAAGGGTTTATTAACATGTGAGTCAATGGGAGATCACAAAATTGGGACAGAGAAAGTGTTCACCTTGAGGGCTGTTCAGATTAAAGAGGTGTTCAGATATACAGGTTTCACTGTATGATGAAAAACATTCGAACATTTTAAGCACATTAGAAAGGTATTGCCATAAAATGACGTTTTACGAGCATAAAATAGGCGTTTTGATAGCAGAAGGTTTGACACAATTGTTTCATATTTTTGGCGTAGAATTGAATTTACACCTTCCTACGCCCCTTCGTTGTCCCATTGAACTTACATATCTGAATTCACAGTTAACATGTAGACACTTGTCACTATATCATGCCACTAAAAAGTTAAGAAAGAAATGGTACATTTAAGAATTTGATACTCTGGCGCCGTTTTCAATAGCTTTTAGGCTACTCCTAGGTTACCCCCAAATGATATGATTTTATTCCAAGGTCCCGATGTAAAAAAATTACATAATCCATCCATAGATCTTTCGGCCTTTTAATGATTTAATTTTCGGGATTTTTGCTAAAATCAAATTATATGGTCCCCTTGGGATTATGGGTCCCCTTTCTTATAAAGGCCCTTTGGCCCCTGAGCTGTGGATACGATAATTAGGGAAAGAGTTGTATTTAGGTCACCATATACACTAAATCAATGGAAAGTAGGACCATAATTTGATAGGACCTCCTCCCCTTTTAGATCGGGATTCATGACGCTATTTCCATTATTCTACGCCATGATTTGAAAAATACCGCCACAAAGAGAGACCCGAATTTTCCCGAGCTTTCCCGAACTTTAAAACCAATCAAATTCGATCTTTGACGAATCCGCGCAGTACTTTTGAAAGCGTGAAGTCCTGTCATTTTCTCCTCATTTTGGCACCATTGTACAGTTGTAAAGACACGAGATTATCAGAGACAATGGATAAAATGTAAGTTAGGTTTCTAACCTAAATATAGAAAATCAATTATTGAATATAGAGCTGTTTTTTTAGATAAGTTGTTCTAAATGATACAATCTTTGAATTTTTTAGAAAATTATTGGGCCATTTTTCACGAGAAACACTAGTTCAACGTCGTTAAACTCAATAACGGCGTTATTTATTATTAAGAATTTTCTTGGGGCCATTATTGAGTTTAACCTCCTTACTATTCTTTCCATTGATGCAAGTTTTGGATCCACCGAAACCATTTTTCCGCGATAACATGCAACTGATACTTGACAACAATATAAAAACACATAACATCAAGCGATTAAACACAATATTATTGTATTAAATGGTCATTTATACAAGTAAAATGAGGTTAAACTTACCAATCTCTAAAATGACATTTCCGCATGTCCGCCATTGTGTCTGTTCGTCCCGGGTTAAAATTTAAACTATTGAAACGAAATTGTTGTCAAATAGATTGATAATTATCACGCGATTACTCGGGATAAAATAACTATTTTTGAGGATAGCAGGTATCTTTGATTGATTTATATAGCGCTTGTATACACAAAAAATAGTTATTAATTGCAAACCTACTGTTCGTTGATGCAGTGTCGCAATGACGGTTAATTCCTGATACGATTTGCAATTTCGATGTTACCGGAGTTGACCGATATTTTCGTAAAATTCCAAACCTGTCTCCAATATTTTCGTAATTATGCATCAATATGGTCTAAGGAGGGTACGGGATGGTGTGTATGTATTTATAAGGTATGTATGCATGCTTGAATCACATTCTTTATGTAATATTACCATGTTTTCGGAGTTTAATTAGTTCCGCATGTCGGAACCTGCTGAACGACTAAATTAACACATCAAGGGCAAAATGGTCATGGAGGTTAGACCTAGCCGGGCCATAAGACATGTCAGATAAGAAAAGAGGCCCAGGCTAGGTCTAATGTTGTTGGACTAGAGAAACACTTGCAGTTTGAAGTTTTACCTGTAGGCTAATGTTCAAGAAAAGGGTTCTACCCTGGAGGTACACTGTGTACAAAATTCGGCGGGAGTCCTAGGCTGAAGCCCCAGTGCAGATATGAATATATTCCCATACCAATTTGTCACAGGGATTTTTACTTTTAGATAGCTCTAGTTTTTTCTGTCAGCAAGCAGCTAACAATAAGCTCAGTTGTATTTTAGCAATAGGTCTATGGTACATTCTTACAATTTGCTATTGTTCGGGTTTGTGTAAAAAACCGGGTGACCGCGTAACCGGGTACCCGGTCGATCAGGTACCTAACGTTCCTAGCAGGGTTACCAACCTTAAAGTTCCACATTTCCCCCGATATAAAGTAGCGAATTGACTTGACAGACTTAGCCTATCGAGTGCACTGCTGTTCGATATTTTTACCCTATACGAGACCGAGCACTTTTTAAAATAATCGATCCAGCAAACAGTGACGTCCATGTCACGTTGCTCATAAGTAGCGTATAAGTTCCTAGAAGACGTTGCATATTTTCATTCTTTACACATCGAGGCAACGTAAACATGAGACATCTATTGATGGTATAAAAAGAACGTTGTTGTAACGTGTCCGTAAAGTTCGTTAGTGTGGAAAACATAACAAACAGGAACGTTTGATTTTTTACTACATTGGTCCATATGTGACGTAACTCAAACGTTAAAATTGAACGTTGTCAAAATAGGCTTTTAATATCAAAATATTTGTTGGTGGAAAAAACATGACAAAAACTTTGTGTTCTCACTAAGTCGGTTCATTTCTGACATATTGTTAACGTTAAAATTTAATGTTGTCGAAACGTTTTTTCGATTTGAAATAACCTCAAAACGTGACGTCAATAATGACGTTCATGGACCGTATTGATCTCACGTTATTTAAATATTCAGCAAAACGTCGATGGATGGTTGAATTTCAACATTGTGGAAATGGGTTCAAAATATTTGTGAGTTAAGAAAACGTTACAAAGACGTCAATATGTTCTCACTAAATCGGTTCATTACCGACATTATATTAACGTTAAAAGTTGTCAAAACGTTCTTACCATGTGAAATAACCTCAAAACGTGATGTCGGAAATAACGTACATGTATCGTCCAGATCCTACGTTATAAATAAAAAAAAATTCCTAACCCTGCTAGGAACATTAAGTACCCGGTCACCCGGTCATCCGGTTACCCGGTTTTTTACACAAACCCCTATTGTTCTATACAAATGATTAATGAATATGGCCCACTTTTCTACGAACGGGAGCATCAACCTTGGGGAAGATGCCTCCTAAGTGGAGAAGTGTTTCATGATTTCAGTGTACATTTTAAATGAGTTGTAAACCATAGATCTATTTTTTAAATGTTAAGGTTCAAATTGTATTCTATTCAAATTACATCACTGTTAAACTATATATCTACTTTAAATGGGCTTATTAGCCTTTTGCGGATTATTGATGTAGATGTAGATGTTCAACGTCGTTAAACTCAATAACGGCTTTCTTTAGTATTGGGAATTTTTTTGGCCGTTATTGAGTTTAACTTATTATTCTTTACTTAGTTGCAAGTTCTGGATCTATCGAAACCATTTCCGCGATAACATGCAACTGCTACTTGACAATAATATAAAAACACATAACATCAAGCGATTTGACACAATATTATAGTGTTTATGTTCACATGTCTGTCATTGTGTCTGTTCGTCCGGCTGTCCCGGATTGAAATTAAAACTATTAGCGAAACGAAATTGTTGTCAAATTAATTGATAATTATTTTTGTGATACTCGGGATATTATAAGATCAATTTTGAGGATAACAGGTATATTTGATTGATTTATATAGCGTGTGTATACACACAAAATAGTTATTAATTGCAAACCTACTGTTTGTTAATGCAGTGCCCCAGTTAATTCCAAACCTGTCTCAAATATTTTCGTAATTATGCATCAATTTGGTCTTAGGGGTGTACAGGATAGTGTGTATGTACTCATAAGATATGTATGCACTATGCATGCTTGGATCACATTCTTTATGTAATATTACCATGTTTTCAAGGTTTAATTAGTTCCACTTGTTGAAACAAGTGAAACACACACTCATGCCAAAATTACGATTGTATCATTTAGAGCAATTTATTGAGCACATTTTCTGAAAAATTCAAAAGATTCTGTTCAGTGACCTTTCCTACCTCCTACTTTTGGCTACTTTTCAGTCACATTTTCAGAGGGCTGAAAAGGGTATTTCATTATGTTTGGGGTCATTCTGACCATACTCATTGTGATCCTGGTCATGGAACTAGTTGAATTGATTGGAGGTCAAAACAGAACTCTGTTATCTTGGTTCAAAAGACTTCCCTTCAATATTTTTACGTTATCATTTTACCAAGAACCTGACGAAGAGACTGAATTTCGGAAGTCCTAGGTATTTATTTACACAGTTTACACGTACCATGATGTTAATTGCTTGATTAATTGTCTGAGTGATTGACAGGATATCGATGATTGTTTTCTATGATGGCGATTTCTACTAGATATTAAACAAATCTGGAAGATTTACATACGCGTAAATTGAAACGTTATTTGCCGTTTTTATCTGTTAGTTAGTATACTATTTACAATACAATGTTAATTGCTTGATTTATTGCCTCACTGATTGACAAATTAATTTTGTTTGTCATTTTAACAGTTGATATATTGGTTAATAAATTTCTTTGCTTGTTTGGTTGTTTGCTTGATTGGTTGTGTCACTGGTATGTTGATTGGGATGTCAATAGGGCGTTTTGAGGAATAAAATGAAAAAATCAAATTCCTAACCCTGGTAGGAAGGTAGGGTACCCGGTCACCCAGTTTTTTTTACACAAACCCGACTTTGATCCAATCATTACTGAAGCACCATCTGCATCCATTGCAATTAGAACAGTGGCAATGTTCTCCCTCTTTACCCCAGCTGTAGCAAGCCCATGTAGAACCACAGCCAATATTCCAGCAGCATCATTTGATTTGGGGGAGAAGATACCCAGAAATTTTGTATGTTTTCTACCCATCTTACAGTAGCTAAAACATTAATTAAATTCACACATTAAAATATTTATATAAATGATTGGCAATGGGAATTTAGGCCAAATTAAACCAGGCGCCAAATGACTCATTGACATTAGCAGATATTATGCAGTTATGGGTCTCAATCAGTTACGCGAGTAAAGTAATATTAAGTTACAATAGTAAAAAATCTCACCTTATGTACACAATCTCCTGCTCGACTGTTCCACTATCTGTTGTTCCATCACACAGCACAGAGACACATTTTACATTAACCAACCCAGTCCTGGCTTGCTCCCTTTGAGCTGCTGCGATGAATTTCGCAAACTCATGTGCATATTGATGATTTATATAAGAATTACATATGTCCAGTCTTTTTGTGCAATCCAATTCACAGAGCCAAGTACATGTATAGTCTCGAAAGGATTTTTTGTTTTTAATGAGGGCATATACATTGCACATTAAGTTTGCCACTTGCTTTTCGGTTGCTTTGTTAAGTTGTTTAAGGCACTTTATAGCAGGTGCATCTTCTGGCTTGTCAATTTTATTTTTATTTTTGACATAATACTGATGCTTCATGTGCTTTAGATTTTTCATGAATCTTAATGCTCTCAACCTTGCATGACATGCATCCCTCAATAAAAGTATCAGCGCAGAGCAAATGTTTAATGGTGTTTGGTACAGTACTTGCAAGACACTGATTTATTTTCATAATTAAATACAAGCCACAGTCTTCCAAATGTCCACCTTTCCAAAAGATTTCTTTGCACTGGTTGTACATTTTCTTTGGATTTCGCTTTACCTAATACATTTCCTTGCTTACTACCCTGGTGCTTACTTTTCATTTTAGTGTTTCTTTCTTTTCTTCATTTGGCGTTAAATGTTTTGTATTTTTATTAGATTTCACATGTTTTGAATTTTCTCTTTCTACATGTACTTCGTGATTACTCTGGTTTGGTGTAGAGTCCCCTTTAGGATTATTTTCCTTTTCTTTACTTGGTGGTTGTTCATTTTTTACCTTTTTACAAGGTTTTGGCATAAAATATGATTTCAGATCACTTTGTCGTTTATTATAATTTGATTTCTTACATGATGGAAGTTTGGTGACGGTTTCACATGGTATTTGTGGTACAATATGGTTTGGTTGAAATTCTGACTGAAATCCTCAATCCATCGTCATTGCCAATATAGCAAGTGCTCCATCAAAACTGTTCGCCAGATGTATTTTCTGATGGTATTTGGCGAATGGTGACCGCTTATCCGACACACTGATTTTGGGATATTACATCCCTTTGAACCAAGAAGGTCTTTTTACCTTCTCAGGTGCATTTTGGGATGGGACTTCTCTCTGAACAAAGTCTATATACCCTCTCGGCAGTATTGTGGGATGTTACATCCTTCTTTAGGAAGGTCTATATACAATCTCAGGTACATTGTTGGATATTTTAAAAGTCCCTTTGAATCAGGTTGGCTTAATACCCTCTCTTCTGAACAAGGTAGGCCTGTTTACACTCTCTGGTGCCTTGTGGGATATAACATTCTTCTTCACAAGGAAAGTCTATGTGGGATGTTCCATCCTTCTGAACCACACCCTCTGTGGTGCATTGTTGGACATGACACCCCTGTTAACCAGGTAGTTCTGTATAACTTATTTGCGACAAAATGTATGTATCTTCCAGGTCTTTCAAAGTTCTCAAAACCAGGAGTTTTTGCAAAAACATGTAGGCCCACATATAATTCATGGGGGGAGGGGGGATACATCAATAGAGTACATTCTGAACATCCCTCCCTGCCATTCACTGAACATTTATATTAATAGTCACTAAGGATTGTACAGAAATATTAGTTGCTAAATGTGCTTTTATGTTTAGATATTAGATCATGGGTTGTTGTCTATGTCTATATCATTCTATGTCACCTGTTTTTAAGGATAAATAGCCAATTAAAGGGGCAACAAGGACTGTAGAGAGAAAAATCAAAAACAAATCTCAGCTATCAGGGCATTTGACATACCTATTTTCTTAAAATGTATGGATAAACTATCAATTTCAGCATTAAGAAGTGTAAATTCAATTTAAAGTTTCTATAAATGGAGTCCAACTTACAGATTTTTAAGATCCACAACGTTTCAAGTGGAATATCAGCTGAAATAATGTTCATCCTGGGGGTTTCTTTAAAGATCATAAAAATATATGTTAGTCTTGGTGAAACATCCAAACTAAAATATATTTCTACACTGGTTGATGATCATTGAATGGCCCCTCTGCACTAGTTGTTGCAAATGTTGTATACAGTTTAATCAGAGATAAAGATCTGTCATTTGAAAGGAATACAAGCATTTATAGTTTCTATTACATGTATGGGATGTAGTCCAGCAACAAGCCTCTGTGTCCCCCTCCCACTACTTGACTTCACACATTGTCACTTTTGTGAGTTGTGTAAAACATGTAAAATATGAGGTGTGTCTGGGGGGGAGCTGACAATTGTGTGCAGGTAGACTGTAATGGATAATACCATTGGAAGTTTTTTTGTAAAGTGTTTACAAATAAGTTTTGATGTGGATGCAAAATCCTTTTGATCTGGAACCCCCTGACCTAGTTTATATTCCCAAGTCCCATAGCCAGTTTTTGCCAAGGGGTCACTTTTAAATAAAAAACTTGGAGGGTAGGTTCGCTTTGACCATTTTGTTCTTGGATCTGTGAAAACTGCATTAATTTAAAACAATTCCTGGTGGGGGGGGGGGCTTATCTTTCCAAGTTAAGTTTTTCAATGACCATTCATGAAATTATTAGATGAAATTATAATAATAGTGTAGGTGAATCAAGCCAAGCTGATTTCTAGAAATAACATACATTTACAGGAAAAACTAGGAGCTGAGGCCTGTTTAATATTTACATTTAAATGAGAATCCATAAGTCAATAGACATTTGTTGAATTTATGGATGAAGGTAATAATCTTTCACATGATTTTTAGGGTTGTCTGGAGCTTGTTCATGTAATCATAACCAGTGGATGTATGCTGCCGACAAAATGATGCTGGGGAGAGAGGGAATGTGCTGATAACAGAGAGAATAGTGGATATATATCTTAAAGGCATTTGATGGGTGCAGCATCGCAGGTGTGCTTTATATATCATGTATTACCTTAATGTATTTTTGGGGTATTTCAAATAGTCCCTTTAATGTTTTATATTTTATGCAGTCCCTTTAACCTTTAGCAGACCACCGGCGACTGCGTCCGCCCATTCAAAATTACCGCCAGAATCCACCGGCGGATCCGGACGACACAAATCTAACTTTTGAAAACTTTTGATTTCGCGCCCCTGAACTTTGAGCCAATCAGATTAGACGGTATTTAAACTACATCCAGGTATCTGTAGTTGAAGGTGACTGAAAAAAATTGAAAATATTTTTGAATTTTCGTAACAAAATCGATGTTTTAAGTGACTATATTGACAAATTTTGTTTACAATGGCAACGGGAAACGATGGGGGTGAAGTTTTTGCCGACTTCGATAGCGACGATGACTTTCTAGGATTTATAGAACAGGAATTACACCAACAGAATTTCAATTTCGATCCCGAGAACGATGATTTGGATTTAGAAAATTTTGATAATTTTGATAGTGACTCAGATAGTGATGATGATGAGCCCCTTGGCGCGTTGGGTGGTGCCAGAGAGGGTGGTGCAGGACGTCGGAGAGATCGTCCCCAGGTACCTACAGGGTACAGTCATGAATGGCTTCAAGACTTTATCTCTCAGCCAGGCCCCACTAATATTCCCCCAGATGCAGATGAAACAACACTATTTAGACTATTTATCAATGATGATATTATTCACATTTTCGTTACAGAGACTAACCGATATGCTCAGCAATTTATTGACAATAATCCAAACTTAGCTCCTAATTCGCATGCAAAAACCTGGAAGGATGTTGATGTTGCTGAAATGAAGGCATTCCTTGCCATATTGCTTCTTATGGGGCTCGATAAAAGATCTTCATATGTACTGTACTGGTCTACTGATCCGATTATCGAAATGAAAGGTTTTCGTAGCATTATGCCGAGAAATCGATTTTTGGCGATACTAAAGTTCTTTCATCTGGTGGACAATGACTTGAATTTACCAAGGGACAATCCTAATTATGATAGGGCTTTCAAGATTAGACCACTAACAGATATGCTGATCCCATTATGGATGCATTACTTCACATGTTCGAAGGAAATTTCTGTGGATGAGTCCATGATCCCGTTCAAAGGTAGAACGGCTTTACTACGATACATGCCAGCTAAACCAAATAAGTGGGGCTTGAAAGGTTGGGGTCTTGCAGATTCCCTCACTGGGTACATGTACAATTGGAACCTTTACCATGGTAAAGAGGCTGGAGACAGGGCTAGGCCTAATAACACCCCTGTTAGTCAGTACGTAGTTGAGAAACTAACTGAGCCACTATATGATAAGGGCCACGTATGTTACATGGACAATTTTTTCTCATCTCCAGCACTCTTTAGATCATTAGAAGAGCATCAGATGGGAGCATGTGGCACCTTGAGAGCAAATAGACAGGGTGTGCCTGACCGTATCAAGACTGTAAAGCCCAAACAAGGCGACCCTCCATTGACAGTAAGAGATGGAAACACGTTATATATATCATGGTTTGACAAAAAAAATGTATATTTGATCACAACAGCTCATAGCACTGAAACTTATCTCAAGCAGGTTAGAGCCAGAGGCCAAGCTGGTCATCATAGGGAAGTTGAAAAGCCTGTCGCTATTCAGAATTACTCTCAACACATGGGTGGTATAGACCGGGCGGATAAGGCGATGACCTACTACATGATGTTGCATCGCTGCACCAAGTGGTGGAAGAAAGTATTCTTTTACCTATTGGAAATATGCTTCTTCAATAGTTTGGTCATATGGAAAAGTTTGAATGCCCCAAGGCGCATTGATGCTGAACAATATCGTATCGCCATTATACATGGTTTGCTTCATGGATATAACAGAGAGCGACTCGGTCATGGGAGACCTTCAATGGATCCACCTTCTCGACTCATTGGTGGAGAGCACTACTTGAAGCTAAACCAAACACGTGTTGCGTCCGGAAAGCGAAGCAGTCAGGATTGTGTTGTGTGTTCCAACAGAGCCTTCAAGAGACATCAGACAATGTATTTGTGTCGTAAGTGTGATGTGGCCCTCTGTCCATACCCTTGCTTCGAGCGCTATCACACCCTCAACTCCTTCCAAGTTCATTGTACTCCAGCTCTGCACCAGTAAACAAGGTAGATATAACATAAATTATTTCTCTATAGTTACTCTAGGGTATTTATAGTAAGTATTTCATTTATATTTATTCACAATCAAACTTTATTGAGTAATGCTCTCATTACAAAACTTCAGCATTTCAATATAACAATCGCGATTACAATGAACAGGTAAAATACAGGTAAATGACTACAGGTACATGAAAAGTAAACCAAATAAATCATTTTTATTCCCTCATACTACTACTCATGGGGTTCTGATTATTGCTGTTATAACAACACTGATATAACTTAGCCAAAAGTTCCCCATCTAAATTCAGCTCAACAGATGTAAAATCGTAACAATACTTTTTTATTTTCTTATAATTAACTATATAATTTACAATGAATATAATAAACAATGTGTAAAATTAATACATATACATAATCTATTATATATTATCTATGTGTAGTCCAAATTTCAAGTCAAAATCTCAAACTACTATGAAGTTATTGCAATTTGAAATTAATAAGTGATTTTTTCTCAGATTTTCTAAAATTAAGCCGGATTATGACGTAATTAGCCGATAATTAATCCGGACTGCTAAAGGTTAATTTTATAAATGTGTGTAATAATCACAGACTTTCTACAGGTTACTCAAAGGCATATTTTAACTCCAACTTTAACAAAAATGTTGGAGATACTTTACTTTTAACTATAAGGTAAGTGAGCATTGGGATTGAACTCATTCAATATCACAGAATTAAGAAGATATATAGGAGTGTGTAGAATTTTCCTATGTTTAAATCCCTTTAATTATGAACATTATGTATCAACATTGTCACGCCCGGTGATCGTGAATATGGGACGGAGGGGGGGAGCAGGCAATTTCTGCTAGGAAATTCAACAAATCTGTAAGATTTATTTTTTCAAGAAAAAGTTTACTATTGAATTGCTAAATGGATAGGCGCACGGTATGGTAGAATATGTTAGGTTTTCTGGGATTTTTTCTGAAACGATACGCATCTAAGGTATGAGATCTATTAAAAAAGGCGCAAGGCCATCAACAGGCACAAATCAACGTTTTTGCTATAAATCAAGCAACAATGGTCTGGACGACCTGTAATAAATACTTGTAAGTGATGTTATCATAACTAAATTAATGTCATTGCTGAATTTATAAAACAAGTTTCCATATGTGAAATAAAAAATAATCGAAAATAATGAATTTGGGACGGAGGGGGGGGGGAGGGGACGGAGGGGGGGGAGCAATATGTATATAAGACATGATTAGAGATGTTTCGCGACTTTAAGTCCTTTTACTCCAAATGTCCCCATTTTTCAGTCTCCAGGGGTATATCATCCAGTTTCTTACTAAGTTAATCAGTTCATTTTTCAAATACAAGAATTCATGTGAAGTTGTTTCACTTTATAGAATTATTACTCTCCCCCCTCCGTCCCCTCCCCCCCTCCATCCCATTTTCATTATTTTCGATTATTTTTTATTTTACGTATGGAAACTTATTTTATAAATTCAGCAATGACATTAATTTTCCTTGCAGAAATTGCCTGCTCCCCCCCCTCCGTCCCATATTCACGATCACCGGGCGTGATTGTACAAGTCCCTTAAATAAATATAATATTTACCCATGTTTAAGTCATATGATTATATACCAGTATCATGTTTCAAGTCCCTTTAATTACAAACAGTATGCATATAGTCCCTTTGGTAACTACTTAAATTAAGCTGTACCATGTCCCTTTAACAGAAATAGTGTCCACCAGTATCATGTTAAAGTCCCTTTTGATTATAGTATGCAGCTACGTTGTAAAAGTCCCCTTAATAACAATACAAATTTACTTCTTCCATGTATGAGCCCCTTTAATAACAAGTATTATTATATCACTGTCATATTCCTCACTCTCTTATTGGTCCATCTCCTACACGTGACTAAAAAATAACTAGCGATATTCAACGGAAGTCACGTGACTCTCCTGCTTGTTGGTTGGAAGAGTTGGAGGTGTTCTGATACAAATCTGAGGATGACATCATTTTGGCTATCTGCCAGTGTTGGAAATGGAGAACATCCCAAGGCCAATTCATGGTTGACCTTTCATAGCGAACGTTGTTATCATAATACCTCCATCCCGATTTTTGTTCATATAAATCAGTGACTGTGTTAAGGTGCTTCATGAGTTGAGGCCCGGCAGTTTGATTTTTCATTTGGTAGACTGCGGAGAATGTGGCGAATGTTTTTAGTCACTGAGGGAATGATAGTGCTTTTTGTTTTGTATGATTTTGAAGATTGAATATCTCAATGGAGTTTTGGCCATTAGGCGTAAGTTGCGTCACAGTCATGCCACCTGGCTGAAAATCCACATATTTGTCATCCCAAATTTTTTGTTTAGATTTATCACTGACTTTCATTTCCAGAGGCGATGTTTGAAAAGACATGGGGTTCAACGAGCTTCCCGAAACATTGTATGTTGACAATTGTGAGCTTGATAGTTGGTTTTGTATCTGAGACAGTAATAATGGAATGTGACTTGGGTTTTGGGTCATATTTATTTGCCCTGTTGATGGTATGCTTGGAATATTGGCTACAGAAGATGGAGTATACAACCCACCTTGTGATGTTGATGGATTCCCCTGGTTTAGTGAAGCCATAGCAGCAGCAGCTGCTACTCGTCTTGCGTATTCATGGTCGATTCACTTCATATGCCTATTTAAACATCCTTTGATACTACTATTATCATTTTATATGACTACAATATAACTCTCTTTATACAATAACCAATTTTAACATAACCAAATTTTTTTGGTTCTCTCATTAAGATAGTAAGGAATCTTTACAAACTCCTTCTACTTAATTTTATCTTCTTCCGTACTCATATAACAACAATAACGCCCAGCATACAATTAATATATACACTCATAACCGTTGGTATAGAACAATATAATTTTTTAAAGCTGGGGACCATTAAGATAGTAAGGTTGCAAGTTGGCAAACTAGTTAACTCCTTAAAAAGGGCATAATTTTTATTGAGGTAGTGCCGACCCTCATTGTGTTATTCTTGTTAAATATTCTTAACTATGTTAATGCAACCCTCTACTTACTAATATCTTCTTATTATAACTTGCCGTCTGTTATGTCGTCCAGACAGTTGATGACCATTCCTCTCCAAGATCTAATGAGTCTCTTGTTTCCCTTTTCGTTCAGATGTACGGGGTCTTGGGCAATGCTAGTATTTTCGTATGCTGGTATTTATGGTCATTGAGATCTTTGTGATTATAATACATTATATTTTTATTGTCTTTTGTTAATTTTTTAATATGATGATTGGCTGCCATGACATTTAAAGTATTGATATTGTATTTGGTTGGATGAAAATGACGTTTTAAAATCTGTCCTATGTAAACTCTTTCGCACAATGGGAATTTTTCAAAGTATTCTTCTGCTCAATTGACTATTGATTCCGCCGTTTCTAAAGGTTCTTAAAGTGGGGTGTAAATTGAATTTATCTTTGCTTTATATGGGATGTCACTTTCTGAACATTTGAGGTCATTTCCTCCAATTTGTAATATGAGCATTGTTGCATCATGACCTTCTTGAGATTCTACTAAATGGTCCTTGAGTTTTGAAATTCTCCCTCCCCCCAGCATTTCACAACCTTCAGTAATTGTAACAGTATCTGTCACAAGTTCCCCAAATGTAAAATGTTCACTCAAAATAAGTTGTTTCACAATGGAATGTCCAGCCAACTTTACTTTCAACCTCATGATTGTCTTGAACTGATGTCTTGAACGAATGAAAAAATCCACCTGGATTTTTCTCACACAAAGTTGTTAAAGTACTGGATCTGATATGTCAAAAATAAGAAAAGTAGGCTAGGTTAAAACGTCTTGTATAATCCACCTGGACTCAAGTCAAACTCTGGTCAAATTGTAGTAATATGTGTTACCTGGAAAATTAACCAACGGAACCTTTTTTATCAATTTCACAACATGTGACTTATACATCAACTAATACCAATATTTAATAATCAACTGCCTAATTGAATTTCAATTTCCCACCATTTTTCCACGTGAGTTATAATGTCAGCCATCTTGGTCCGACAAATTTCAAAAAACAAAACAAACTTTTGAACATTCAATTTCTGCAGTTATACCTCCTTTTATCTGACACTAATTACTCCAATGATGAAACTTATCATCAAGCTAAAAACCTATTAAGGTTATACTTACATACTACACTGCAACCAACCAATACACACAAGCAAAAAATAGAACCTGTTCCCGCTCAGAATGTATGCTTGAAAAGGCCGAAGAAGACCGACTGACGTCATCATCCATTTATCGTCAACTTCGGGAGTTTCCGTCACTTCTTCGGGAATTACCGTTACTTCTTCGGAGATTTCCGACACTTCTTCCTCCATCAATCTTCTCCACTTGAAACTAAATAATGAATACTACATAAATTAAAAGACTCCTAATCCAATAAAACAAATTAATTTCATTAATTTTTTATATTGTTTGTGAGACCATATATCTGCTAATATGGTAGTTATAACCTGTACATGTTGCCCCATGTTTTCTTCCAAGCTCATTCAAGATCTATAAATTGGATTGAAGAACTGCTGTTTATGTCTAACAACAAAACAATCAATTAGAAACAAGAAAAAATGAATATATTTAATTCTGCATACAAATATATACAATCAACTATTAATTGGCTTTATTCCCTATGCCTCAAAAGAATGTTCATTGAAAAATGATAGCGAAGTCACCGTTGTGACGCAATTGCGTATATGCATAAGTCATTAAGTGGTATTAACTTAGGAGACAATCGGTGCTAGAGTTGAGACCATGCGCGGGTCCTCCAGCCAGCTCTGCGGAACTGTGGCCCTGCGGGACCGTGATTGTCTGGAAACAGCCCAAGTAAACCTAATTCACTTTCAAACAATCAAGACGGTAAACCGTAGAGTGTACCTGTCTTATCAGCTAGATAAGTCGCGTTGCGAACATGATTGTTTGAAATTGGAGACAATTATGTACATAGAAAGCGATGTATATTTACATAATTGAATACTATGAACTGGTTTATCTTGGAGCAGCTGCACTATCATTAAAATGTAATGAATTGCAGTTGGGGAAGAATGAGTTGAAACGAATAATTGCTGAAACGAATAATTGCAACTTGAAAACAAACTATGCCAAAACGTACTAGCAAAATTCAATGAAGGTGATGAGGATGGGGATGGCGGTGGATACTTGAATTACAAATGTAGACCAACGTGTATTCAGCTTGGTTACATTTGAAAGAAGAAAGAACATTACAAATATAGCTCTAATAATACGTGTGCATCCGTGTGCAACCACAACATGTCAAACAAGTCACGCCCAACTCTATATAAGGTAAAGCAGGTGTGGTTTATTTCGTTATCCATAAACTAAACTTATTAAAATAAGTTAAAATTTATGTCTAACAACAAAACAATCAATTAGAAACAAGAAAAAATGAATATATTTAATTCTGCATACAAATATATACAATCAACTATTAATTGGCTTTATTCCCTATGCCTCAAAAGAATGTTCATTGAAAAATGATAGCGAAGTCACCGTTGTGACGCAATTGCGTATATGCATAAGTCATTGAGTGGTATTAACTTAGGAGACAATCGGTGCTAGAGTTGAGACCATGCGCGGGTCCTCCAGCCAGCTCTGCGGAACTGTGGCCCTGCGGGACCGTGATTGTCGGGAAACAGCCCAAGTAAACCTAATTCACTTTCAAACAATCAAGACGGTAAACCGTAGAGTGTACCTGTCTTATCAGCTAGATAAGTCGCGTTGCGAACATGATTGTTTGAAATTGGAGACAATTATGTACATAGAAAGCGATGTATATTTACATAATTGAATACTATGAACTGGTTTATCTTGGAGCAGCTGCACTATCATTAAAATGTAATGAATTGCAGTTGGGGAAGAATGAGTTGAAACGAATAATTGCCAAACCATGTGCGAAGCAGATATTTCACTAGGAAAAGTTTTCACTAGGAAAAGTGAAATGAGTGAAGCATATGGGAACCCCAATTGTAATAGAAGTTGGTTTATATTTGGTTTTGGTTTGTAGGTAGGTAATAAAACATGATAAAATAATTGTCCGGAATAATTGTTATTTTCCATCCAGGAATAACCAATCTACACTAGATAAACATTCACGTTAAGGATATTAAAATAAATTGAAAATTATTCACGCTGATGATTTCAGTCAAATGTCAAAAGTGGTATCTCATTATATACAATGCACATTTACAAAGCCTTGCGTGACTTAGTCCATTCTTTTTGAGCATCTTAGTAACATTTGCAAGAGGTCGGATGTACCTCCTGTATGTGTCCAAAGACCACCGACAAAGTGTTTTTATAAGATGGTCCTTGAGGCGAGCCGATGCGCATTCCGTGCTTGTACCGATTCTGATCTGAATGAATGACCACTATAATTGTTGAAACATATCACAAATAGGATAGGCGGTATTTAAGTATGAGATGAAACGGTCCCGTGATAAAGGCTTTACTCCTTTTGTAATGTAGAAGTGACTTTTTACGCAATATTGGGGAAGCGTTTCACTCGACTGGCATTGTATTTTACTGACACGGTAACGGGCAAATATTTGCATCTGTTTGATATTCATATTAAAAGTTATCAACAACACCGTTTCCAAAAGGGTCGTTTTTTTAGGCAAATAAGTTAATTACTACTAACACAATCATTGTTGATGTTGACATTTTTCAATTAACAGAGGAATGTGACTGTCGTGTCTAGATGATGAATTAATTGTAAATTCACTACACTTGAGGAAATACAAACTCGCTAAATTACATGCCGTTTCTTTCAACAAATCCGTGTAAGACTCAAATAATCCGCGCCTCAATTTATGGGAAATACGTTGCGAATGTGAAAAGTCGGCAAAGTTGTTTTGACGATGGTTTTTTATTCTTCTTAATTAACAGTGACTAATATGCTTAAAGCAAGTCTATGCATATCCTTCCCTCAATTTTAGTAAAATCAGAACAATGGACGTATCAATTCCTAATCCCACAAAGATATGTTTTAATGTAGAAATGAGATATTAATACGCTATAACAATGTGCAACAAAATAAAGAAGTAGTTTTTCGCTGAAACATAAAATATCGTTTTGTATGGCTACTATTGTTTTGCATTAAAAAATAACGTATACGAGTTAAATTCAGATTGATACACCGTTGCCGTGGCCTTGCTTACTCCACTCACAGAGAGATCATTAGTCCTCTGTGTTAACGTCAGACTTTTTCTGCCCGATGATTGGGTCTTTCGCTATGTCTGGCTCTAAACATTGGAACGAATTTTTAATGAGAATGGTCCCCTATTCGTGCGGTAGCAGCTTGTATACTTGGACCGGTACGGAGGAAATGCCCCTTATATTAATGATGGTCAATGCCTATATGTGCTGAGATTGTTAGTAAAATGTGTTCGGAATAGATATGTCCAGTCTTTCGTAACAATGAAATAGCTCTCGGCTGTTGATGGGTCAATTTGTTTTCTGGCAAAATCCTGTTAATGTTCATGCTAGACAGACTGCAGATTTTACAGGTACAGTGAATTGATACCCCTTTTCCAAAATGGATCTGTCTTCGAAACAGAGAAGTGGATAGTTTATTAAGCTTGTTTTACCAGACAGGTGCAATGACTTTCGCCCGTAGACCCTTATAGTTCGTTTGAGTCTGACTATTGAAACTCGGAGGAAGGCGAGGGTATATGCTGTTTTCACGATAATGGTTGCATAAGGGTCGAAGAATCCTTTCTTAGGGTGTCCACTAGTGGTTTATCCTGCTTTTGTAGCCACTGATAAACTATAATCTGCCTGCTTTATGTTGATGGGATGGGATTTCATCGAAACGCCAGAGAGGCACAGTTAATAGAAGGGTCGAATCCTTTGAACTAATCTTGTGCAAAGGTGCCATTACGCAAATGCTTCTAATCCGGTGACCTAACCCTGTTAAAAACTGTAGTGTATTACAGAAAAAGTAGGGGGGTCAACTCAGACCCCATGCGCACTGAGTAAGTCCAATGAAGAGAAGCATGTGGGGATTTAATATAGTTGAAATGTCCAATGTTGTGAATACGTAGAAGAATATCACGCTAGCAGCTATCCGGTGGACTTCCGAGGATTGTCTTGAGGAATTCTGTAACATAAATCACCAAGCAGTATACAAATCTTACAAACAACCTCTGAAAATCGCAAGTTAGAAAGTATAAACAATGTGACTTGTAGATCGTTAGAGCCGTTTTTACGTGCCATGAAGAAGCTAATTTTTACAGATACGATAAAAACTTAAAGGTGCAACAATTAAAGCTGACCGATCAAGGACTAGTCTAAAAGATATTCAAGTTTGGATATTTCGTGAAGACTAACTTATACTTTCATCATCCACAAGGAAAACCCTGAATGAACATTATTTCAGCTGATTTCCCTCTTGAAAACGTGGTAGATGTTAAAAATCTATAGGTGGGTCTTCTTTTATAGAAGCCCTGAACTGAAGTTACACTCCCTTATGCTGAAAATGATAGCTTATCAATAAATTTACGAAAATAGGTATCCCAATGGAAATGTTAAGCCAAACGTTGCCCTGCTAGCTCCATAAGTAAAGAAAAGGGTTTCTCTCTACAGGCCTTGTTGTCCCTTTAATGCAATCAATCGTTCATCGGGATGCTTTGGAAACTGGCTCCAAATGGTACCCTGCGTGCAGAGTCTAGTTATAAACTA